ACTTACATCAGTACCAGGACCAATAGCTGCCGGCACAACGGGCGGCATTCCAGGAACAGGCATCGGATAAGCTGGAGGAACACCAGGGAACATAGGTGGGTAACTTGGACCACGTGGGGGAAACATCATAGGTGGCATCATAGGAAAGCCTATAAGGCAATTGATTTAAATTATATACTTAGATTCTAGAACCAGTTTTTGCGATAGTATTTCAAGATACTAGACATTTGAGTACTAATAATCAGATTTTTAGTAATAAAATATTAATTGATTCACATATGTTAGCTTAAATAACAGTAGAGATGGTTCGCCATTCTTTTTTCAATTTAAAAATTCAATAACCTGGTGGTGGCATCATTGGTGGATATCCACCCATCGGCATACCAGCGGCCATTTGTGGTGGTACACCAGATCCATATCCACCAGCAGCACTTTGAGAAGCAGCTGAAAACATTTTCTGTCATTTTCATGATCTTTAAATAACAAGACAATAGCATGCTACAATCAATTTTTCGTGATGGTAACATGTGACAAATATAACGAGTGGAATAAGTTGAAAAATTCATTTTAAAGACATTTTAATTTAACAAACAATTTCTTCACAATCACTTCTTTACAGAAAGGATTATTTCCGCACGATCATCCAAAATTAAACTTTTGTAAAATCATGTTGGAGACAGAATTATAGTGCCATGAATTGCATATCTGGTTTATTCGCTAACTGGGCCAATTTTCCCCCAGTAACCATCATTTTATGAATTATTTCATACAATAATTCATAATAAACAAAAGTAAAACGAGAAATAATCTGTCAATAGGGATGGATTTCCCTAAGCCATCAGACACGGTTTAATGAACTGGGGTTATAATTTCAGATATGTTATTCGCGGAATAAACCCGAGATTGCAATATAATTTATAGCTTTTAACAAACTGACCCGATGAAAGATAAGAACATTTCACCTATTATTCTACATCCTCCAGATTATCATATATGAAAATTAGCGAAATTAAGTGAACTGTGGTGGAAATTAGTTATGTATATATATAATATATATACGTATAACTCGCAACAGCACTCACATCGTTAAGTAACTGAGGAAGAGGAAGGAATTTACGCATCACATCTCCTGTATGTGTGTATGTATGGTAGGTACGTGTAATATAGTTCTAGGAAGAGGCAACAAAAAGCATCGCGGCATCTGGAAGTATCCGGGAACGGTATTATCACATTCATGGATTGAATATTACCAATTTGGTTATCAATATCACCACTAAAGTGCGCATTAGCAAAGACAACAAAACAAAACAAAACAAAAAAAAACGCTCAACGAAGCTCTTTTCTTGCCAAAATTTCTCCAGTTCTATACAAATTTTTCTTTCTCATTTTTAAATAAACTGAATTACTTTTTAACTGTAACATTACTTTCCGCTGTTTCAAGGTTTTAAAGTTAAAGTGAAAAGTTACTCGGATTTTATTCTCTGCTCCAGGTAATTAACACTTGCAATACGTACCACGTTCACGTCCCCGATATGGTAGTAGAAGCATAGAATGTAAATGACAAAACTGTAGTAGACCCTATAAGGAAGCATGCTGCAAAGTGCTAAAAACATGGCTGAAATACCACTAATTCAAACTATTTACTACTTCAGTAGTCATCAATCATCATCATTCCGTCCCTATTGCAGTTCTTCAGTTCTGTTATTTTTATCATCTATTATAATTCCTTCTTTCAAGATTTAAATCTCTTCTTAATATTTGAAACATTTGAAATTATGTAAAAGCAGTCTTCATCATTCAGATTTACTCAGTAATAGCCTTTTAACGTGCAAAAATCAAAAATTTCCAGCGCCGGTCACCGAGATATCTTGGCGGTCCTCGGTAAATTGACAAATCCACTTTATACGGTACCATAGCAATGCCAAGCAAAAGCCAACAACCACAACACCAAATAATCCAACCATCATTAGTCGTGCCACAATGAAGAGAGATTATTATACGCACGCCCAACATACTTACCTCTTGCGTGCTCATCATTTTTTATACACTTTGATGGAAAGAGAAAAAGACAAAACTCAATTTTTCATATTAAAAAACTGGCAAAATTGCTACTTAGTTAACAATTAAGAAGATGAATCATGATAATTTATCATGATAACGAGTATTGAAGGCATCAGTATTGGCAACAAGATAATGCAATAACAGTAATAAATGGATGCGAAGATATTTGCGGTAACATTTTCAGTGACAAAGAACCAAACTTTGGATAAAAACCACTATAAAGAGCATACCTTGTTCTTTTTCCTCTTTCGCATCTTTTTCAACCAAAGCTTGTAGTTCACTTTGCTCCATTACTTTGGCATTTTCTGGTTTCTCCCATACCGTGTCACGTGTTACAGCGTTATAGTAGTAGGGCTTTCCATCCGGTGACTTTGTTTCTACCCACAACTCCTGATCTGGTGAAACGCCCGCAAGCTGAAAAAGATGAATTCACAAAAAATTTTCTGATTCACGGCTGTAGTACTTTCACTCTGAATAACTCCTTACCAACAAGGTTTAAAATGAAAAAAGGTTTAAAATGCTCGATACGACAAGTCTAATAGAAAACAGTAAGAGAATAAGCTGTACAAATTACCTTTTTCAACCTTTCTGCTTGCTGTTGAGGCGTTTGCTGGACAGGCATTTGATGAGCCATCGGCGGCATTCCCATTGGAGGCATTCCCGGATATGGTGGATAAAACGGAGGACGTGGTTGGAATGGTGGACCTCGCATACCACGTCCATCGCCCATATAACCAGGTCGTGGGCCACGCATTCCGTAAGCGCCACGCATGCGCTGGAAACCACCACGGACACCTGAAATGGAATCATGCCGTTTCAAAATATTCCGATCGAAACAAAAAACAATGGACAGTGAAGGGACCAAACAGAACCTATTTAGCTGTGAAAGTTCTTCGTAACTGGTAAGATAAAGGAACAGAATAACAACAGAATGGGATCTGGGGAAACATAGAAAAAATGAAAGAAGTAGGAAACGGGACAAAATGGGAAAACATAAAAAAGAACATGAAAAAAAATGAAGTCAGTGTAAAAGAAAAACTGATATGGACTTATGCAAAAAAACCCGATGAGATGTTCCAACTGACTCCAAATAAATTCAAACAATTTAAAATATTATAAACAACCATTTCCAGTCCCGAACTATTATCATATAAACAAAACTGTTTATTATTCAATGCATTACAGAACTTACCCCTTGAACGATCGTAACCATATCCATCATCCATATCACCATTTCCATAAGGACCTCCTCGTGGACCGCCACCATACATACCTCGCCCACCCCTCCAATTGCCTGGACCCCGCGGACGCCAACCACCACCACCCATACTTTGCGGCCCATAACCATAAGGTGACATACCACCACCTCCACCACGATAGCCACCACGTCCACGAAATCCACCTCGAAAATCATCGCTACCACTACGGTATTCTTCCCCACGATAATCATCGCCATGGAATTCTTCACCCCGATAATCGCCATGTTCACGATCTGGCCCTCGTTCCGAATAAGGTTGATAATTATCTGAAAATATTATGTTATACATCGTATCCATTATGACTTTCCGTCACTTCGACCAAGGAAACTTGGTTTAAAAACCTCCTGATTGTCATAACTGTGCACTATCTACGGACACCGTACCTCCGAATGTTTGTACTTCACATCGAACACGATGGTAAAAAGACTTCCCAAGATAAGCTTCAAATACCAACTAAATAAAAAGCTATTACCAAAATCATCATGTTCTTGTCCACCTCGATGAGCACTGTCATACTCGCCACCTTCTTCACCACCAGCATCGTGGTGTTCATCCATCCCATTCTTAAAGTGATGTCCTTCATGCTCCTGGTGTTGCCGACAATGCTTCTCGTCATCCTGATGGTCCATTTCCTCTCTCATCATACCATTCAGACTGCTATCACCCATTACTCCTGAATATAACCTTGTTAAATTTAAATGAATTCCTCTTTCTTGTTAAATTTAATCTTTGTTTGTTTCTTGTTAAATTTAATCTTTGTTTGTTCTTTCTTGTTAAATTTAATCATAATCTTGTTAAATTTAAATGGAAACGATATTCAATATTCGCATCCAGTCAAAACTTATCACAAGTAGTTATTTCCCATCTCATCATAAGTAAATGTATAACATATGTCAACGAAGGTACAATCTACAAACTTGTACAAATCATTTTTCGAAAACACTATCTCATTTTTGCAACTTACTGGATTATACAATTAACGCATCAGACGAAACTTCAATTGAAACGACCGCTTGCAAAACGACTTTGTTGAAATTATTGTCTATGGAAACAAACCATAAATATGCAAATTTCCGGAGCATATTTGAAGTGATGTATTTGATAGTCATGAAATTCCTATTTGAAAAGAGTTAAGTGAAAAGATCCTCTGGCAATTAATCAGTAAAAGGAGAATAGTAGATCAATTCATTGGAACATGAAAAACACTGCATTTATAATATGTAACTACGGTAGATGCAATCACTACAGTGGATGCAGTTACAGTGAAGTATATTCGGAAGACAAAGAAGGACATCATTCTCGGAAAAACGAATTATGTGGTCAATTGGGTTATGCATGATTCAATATATACAAGGAAGGCGATTATTAAATTATTCGTTGGGAGAAGCCCCAATGATATAGTGCTGTCATTGTTGTTGTTTGCTGTTATTGCTGATACATGTTGTTGTTGTTGTTGTTATTGCCGTATTGCCCACATATGAACAGCAATAAATGGAAGAAGCACAATATCCAGATAGTATCAAAAATCACTATGTTTGATTCATAATTTTTGAAAAACAAAAAATGAAAATAATCGGAATCTCACTTCTTTTATTTCGGTTGTTCCATATACCGATGCTTTCATACTAGCAATACATCCGTATCCTACCCATAATGATTCATCAGAATATAGCACTGGTAATGAATTGGTAGCCGAGAAATGCCAAGCAGAGGAGTTAACAGTTCTTGACTGACTACGATTCAAAGCAATACGAAAACACTAATACTGTGTAGATTTAAAGGGACACCAAGTTCGATGATTATATTGTAAATATCCCTCGGGATATGCATTAGAAGCACAACAAGAATAATTTGAGTAAAAATAATTTGAGTGATTTTTTAAATCAAGAATGATTTGAGTGGCGATTCTGAGCATCTTATATAACTAGATCACAATACAATCAATCCATAGGTTGGACTGGACTGTCTAATGTCAGCAAGAAAATTAATGCAGTTCGTCGTTCTACTGCCAAAAATTATTAATGCAGATGAGAGAAAATGGAAAGAATAATCTTTTGACTCCAGAAAAGTATCTCTTTCGGAATTCGTAATTTCGAAGTAGTGATTAAGTGAATTGAATTCGGGAGAAGGAAATCACGGTATATTACATCTTGTGCAAACAACATAAGAAAAACTAAATCAATTATCTAGAATATATCAAAAAAAGATAACTACTCAATTCTCGTACATCCTGGTTTCCGTCAGTTTCCTTCGTTTCAGAAATAAAGAATAACAGAAGCCATAGCGGAGTTTTCTCTTATTTGCTTCTTAATCATATTTCCTTACACTTCCACCCAACAACTGTTTTTTCTCTCAATTCTTTTAAAAGTATAACTAACCCTCATGATGTTCATGTTCCATTCCTTCATAATGTTCGTGCTCCTGTGTTTGTTGTTCTTGTTCATCCTCGTTTGTGGTCATTTTTATATCATCATACGAGGATGAAGAAACTGCAGTATGTTCGGAGACTTCACCGTAATCTTGCTGCTGTTGCTGCTCCGATTCGTCATGTTCATCAATTTCCATTATTTAGTGCGCGGTGATATTTCGTGAATTAACCAAATATCCTAAAACAATCAGCATGATTTATGCCCATGAAATAAAGCACCAATTTATGTGCCGTGTGACTAGAAGAATTCATAATAACCCTTTTCCCAGAAACCAACCACTCGTCATGTTGTTCTAAGTCGAAGGATAAAAAAGAAAACAAAAAAATTCAAGGGAAGGCGACTAAGTCTCAGACGATGCGAGGGAAAAGTTAGTCAAATTTCAAGAGCAAACAACTGCGGTCACACAATCCTGACAGAAAATATACTTTGATGGAACAGCAAGTGAACTTACTGCCTAATACGCTTTTCACACTTTTCACTATGATTTATTTAAAAAATCTCTTTTGATGAACTTTGTCAATGTCTAGTAAATCTACAATGACCTAATTGTCAATAAACGTGCAACCAAATGTCAAGGCAACCCGAAATTGTATTGCAATAACCTGAACCTTACACTAGCTAATATCCTAAGCATTTCTTCCTATTCACTCACGACCAATACATAATACGAAACAATCTCCTTAGAGTTTGTGTATTCCATGAAGTAATATCATGATTATGATTTAGAATTCTCATCAAATGACCTACCCGTCTATTCCAGTCAATAAACCTAAACAACATGAAACACACTGCAATCGGGACTGTAAAAATTACTAAAACAAGGAAACCAATAGTGCTCTAACACGTCCACGCTATAGTACGATGCAGTGTGTGACTCTAGGTGGGCGGTCGGTGCAACTTATACGTCTCAGCGGTACGATTGCACCAAACTCTTTGTTTGCTCCTTGTTTTCTTGAAATTTGGAACGGATCTTTTGGAAATGGCTTAGAATTAAATATAATGATAACTGTAAGGTTAAAACAAAAACATGTGATGGAATTCAAATGATATATTTTGGAGATCAAAAGACTACCATAAGAATACAGGAATTATTCGTATGCATCAATTTATGCGAGAGAAAATTGGCGATCAAAGGATCATGCGTATGTATTTGCAATCCCTTAAATTATTTGGAATTCCTTGAAAACTTCATGTTTTACTTCATTCTTGATAGTTTCTGTTCTGAAATTCCCAAGTTTTTTTTATTGAATACGCTTGATGCCATCATTGATACCCTAGCGTTGGAGTGAATGATGTCATACCCTTTAAGTTATACTTCTTAAGTCATTGTACTCTTTAAGTCATCAAATCACGTTGAATTAAAGAAGATGTACATACACATGCATTTACATACATCTTAATGCTTCACTTACATACACATACATAAAAATGTAAAAATCAAATGTACACTACTGAGATGGTCATATATTGAAAGAGTAAGTTTAGTGGTAGACCCTCCCAACTATCCATCTATCGACGAATTGCGCAGAGAGGGTATTGACGAAGACTGAATGTGAGTGAACGACCCGAATTTCTTACCTCATTTCCATCCTTGACTTATTCCCTATCGGATTTCTTCGTTGTTAGAACCTCCGAATGAATATGTGTCTATTGGGATTTATTTCGAAAATACCTGACTACGGAATTAGAATTAGCTAAAGTCCAATGACAGCCTTTCATTTCTCAGTTTACCGTAAACACTGGAAAATAACTGAAGTTGTGAGGATTTATTTTATATTCAGTTTGGTTCAAACTAAAATCAAATTTTAGTTTGAACTAAAATTTGATCCAGACTTGTTTGAAGTATGGATGATTAATAAACAGGTGATTTACGATTTTTTGCATCAGATAACAATATCTCATTAAAAGTACAGCTCACCTTAGTGTCAATAAAAACGCATCAATAAAAATTTGAAGTGAATCCTTTGAAGTGAGTTGATTTGAAATGAGTCTTTTCGTTCATCAATATATCACTCCGATACTTTCAATCTATAATGAGTTGCTATTCTTCGATTTAACTTCTACAAGTACTTTATAGCTGCAGTGGTCTGTCCTTTGAAGAGGATGCTCTCTTCCTTCTTAAAATAAACTTTAATCTGTGCTTCCACAGGTATCATTTCTACAGACATCATCTTGTTCACAGTATCAATGATGATGTGGACAATGTTTGTCTCTCATTTTACACATATTTTAGAGAAAGAGAATTTCAAATTTGATTTGACTTCAAAATTTGCAGTGAATACCATTCTAATATCCTAAATTGAATCGTTTAGAATATTTAGTATACAAGTATTTACGACTGGAATAAAAACCAATAATTTTAAAATATCAATAAACTAGTCTATAGAAACGTCGAATTTTGAATTATATCTAACTGCAAATATCTACCATCTTTCATGCTTTCTGTATTTTCGATATTGTTTTGCAAGCAATCTTTTCATTCTATTTCTTGTCCATCTATTTGAATTGTAAAATTTACACATCAATTATTTATCATATATTACTAAATAAGGGAAGCTAGAAACATACGGGATAGAAATAAGTTGTTATTAAACTGTAAGAAACCGAGACTTTTCGGTAAAGCACTATTAAAGATTTTCTGTAATCTATAAGATATTAAGAATTGAATCTTCCGGAAAATTACAAGCAGGAACTGTATGATTTTTGCTAATTTTAATATTGTAATGGGGAAAGTTTAGAAGTTTTAGTTAAAATAATGTTAAAACTTGTGTAGTCAGACAACAGAGAAGCATCAATATTAGTTGATATCTGCGAAGAAATGTTGTTGCATTCCTGTTATTATCATTTATGCAACATTAACTTAGCATAAATTTACAGACTAAAAATGAAATGTTATCAGTGAATTAATTCCAAAAATGGATTCCCAAAAGCGCAATTCTTCTCTTTTTTGATGAACCACAACAGCAGTTTTCAAGATATCTGTGACAATATACCTCAAACGGACCACCAACTGCAGCAAGTACTGTACACTTGTTATTCATGAATCATTAGATTCTAGTAATATGGTAGGTCAGATGATTGGTATCTATTGCCTTCCTGGATTTATGCTCCTTAGGCATGCACAATGCAAAAGGATTAGTAAATATAAGAGGTCAAAACTGATGCTACACTTTTGGCAGCCTAAATTCTTTAAGGATCAAATACTCAACAGTGCTATATGGTTTTTCATTGAGACAAACCGATTTTCCGATACATCTTATGTAACAAGATATAGTATAGGTGACATACATTGATCATCTAAAAGAAGCTGATGATGTTTCCGTTTGTGCATCATAAAGTTCAGAAGGAACCATTTGTTGGTCTGTTTGAACAGTAAATCTTCCATCTAAGATTATTATTATCGAAATTAAGAACGCTATAATTTTTAGAATTTTGTACTTTTTTAAAAAATTCGCATTTAAAATTTACCTCATTACCAGACATTAATAAATTTAGGAGACGCTGACGATAATTTGGTGGTCCAATGCAGTTTGCTTACCCATCATTGCTATCATCGGTTTAGTCTGCAATCTTCTTAACATTCTTATCTTATCCACTCATCAGCACGGCGTATTCCATCCTGGTGAGCAATTTAAACAATTTGATTCATAACAAATGATTCTATCGTAAATTGTTTGATAACCTAAATAATGATCATATTGAATACCTGAGTGTACTGCGTTTGAAGGATCATACTATATAGGTGAAACTTATTTTTGAAATAATACGGTATCCCAAAAAGGGTATTGTATTTCCAAAAATCATATACTTCAAAGGTGATACTGATAATGGTTTGCTATAGGGATTCATTATTAGCTCTAGCTGTTTGTGATTGCTTATTTTTGGTGTCAGCCACAATGGAAGTGACACCAACCAGCTTATCAACGTTGTTTACTTCATCATCTTTCACTGCTGTTTATATTCACTCAGTACTGTACGTGCGCATGTTCGTGTCCACGTTTTATAAATCATCGATTTTGTAAGTTATACTTCTGCTCTAGTTTATTCTGAATCAGGACGATGAAAGTTACTCTTCAAGCCAAGTTCTCATTACTGCTAACAATAATAGTCCCAAGTGACAATACAATAACAGTAATTTCAGATTGGTAGTGATATTTAATCTGGAACGTTACATCTATGTTTGCCATCCGTTACAATCGCATAATTTACGCTCGAATCATACAAGTCGTATTGCTGTATTTGTCTAATAGTATCATTGATATGTTCCCTGCAATGGCCTATGTGCTACAGAATTCGCTCATGCTGGGACAATCATCTAAGCCAGCATTTTTATGTTATTGGTCTAAGCGATAATCCAAAATTACAGGTAAATTACAAATTCTAACTAATCATCATAGTTGATAGATGATAAGCAGTGTTGCATTCTGCTATAGTTACAATGTTTGGTAATTATTGATGGGTGGTTGATAAAATAATATCTAATCTACCAATCAAAGTTCATTCTTGCAACCTTTTTTGGAAAAAAAAAACTTCCCCTGTTTTTATTATAGAATTATTATCGGTTGATGGATTATTTTACTCTCATTGCATTCAACGTATTGCCAATTGTAATCCTTTGCACAATTAACAGTCGGCTAATAATGACAATCTGGAAAGTTGTTGATCGAGATATCAAAACACGCAGTAGCTTGACAAGTGATGACATTGATATTGATAATGTGGATGATACAAGAAGTTGTACAATCACTCCTACGAATATCACTACAACAACAAGCATAAGAAGCAATAATGCGGTCATTGAGAATGCTGCTTTTGTTACGGTGAGTGTACTTCTCATTGCTGAACAAATAAAAAACTGAATATGTATGCAGTCAAAATTTCTTGAACAATCAGCCAAGAGAAGACGAAAAGAAAAATGAAGGGACTTCCTTTCCAATTTTCAAAAAGAATTTTACCACTTTCTATCCCGTACGCAAACTAATTTAGTGACAATTTATTGGCAAGTGTCACTCTGCTTGCTAAATGTAAACTAACCTTAAGAAATTCTCAGATGATAAACCGATCTTTCCACTTTTTTACAAGTAGAATCCTTTACGAAGTAAAGGACTTAAAATCCGAAATTTTGAGGATGCTACAAAATATCAAAAGTCAGTAGCACAACGTTTCAATGCTAACGCGATGCTTTTTGCGGTTGTAATCATGTTATTGATATGTGTTGGACTACAAGCACCGGCCCGATTACTCTTTAATCATTATGGAAAATATGATTTGACAACGATCATTTATATGTGTGTCACTCAACATTACCTTTCTCACTTCTACAAAAAACCCGTGAATGAGCAGGAGAGGGAACAAAACCTTATGTTCAAGAAATTCGACTATTTCTATTACTTCATACTATATTTCAAACAAAATATGTTGATTTAATAGAAGCCCGATTACTTCCGATCAATGAATACTTGATGATGATATTATTATAAACTTCCAAGGCATTCTCTCCTTCTCAATGAATTTTAGCTTGTTTTCCTCAATGCTATACTGAATTTCTGCCTTTATTGCTTGGTGAGCAGACGATATCGTCAACTATGATGGAAACACTCAAAGGATTCATTGGAAAGATTACTGAAAAGTATATTATTAAATCCTGACATGTGATGAACAACCATTTTGCTTTTCTCAATCTGTTATTTGATAAAAAAAAAAAAAGTAGAATGAGACAGTAGTCAAACAGTACAAATATGAAAAGATACCCTTACTTCATTATCTTAATTACACATTATCATTTCAGATACTGCTCAACAGTTAGCCAAGAATGCAGAGCACGTAATTCGCTATTACGTGTGTGAATGCAACCAACAGATGAATGCAAGTATGGAAAATATCGAAGGAAATTTATACTGTTACTTGAAGCATAATCTGAAATCCAAAAGCAAAATGATGGAAACTGGAGAAAGTCTTGGAAGATTACGGAACTTTTGATTTTCAAACGAATATCGAGAGGGAAAAGGAAGATATATCCAGTTAAAATCTCAAACTGCATGATAGACTAGGGCCATACCAGAACAAATTTATATTCTTATTCAGAAAGCTGAGAAACTCGGAAATTTCCAAGCAAGTGATTTGAATTCTAGGAATAATCAGGAATGTGATTTACTATTTAGCGATTTTTTTAAATACGCATTTTCAACACTCCAACTCCACTTTATTTTTAATTTGCAGGTGCAGAAAGGAATACTACCTTTGTCTGCTGGATTTTAAAGCAGAAGGAATAATAAATACTACTAATAACATAAAATATAATACTCAGTTCAAATAAATATGAACAGAAAAGATGTACTAATAAAATCATCACTGTTAGCTTGTTTGATCAAATATCATTGTGAACCATTGTATTCGTCAAAAATTAATGTAAATGGAAAGAGCAAATCATCCAAATTTACCCGAGGCCTGTTTACTTGTTAACTGAAGCTACGTATGATGTCGAAGAATATGTGAAATAAAAGGATATTGTTGCATAAGAAATGGTTCTGTACATATAAAAATATTACAATAACAAATGATTAGTTGAAATCATAAAGTTATAAAACAAAAAGGACAGAAAATACACTGCGGTTAAGCGAGAAAAGAAATGCATAGATATAAATTCGAACGAAGACAAAATTCAGTGCTTCATGCCAGATCAGTGTATCTTCAATTCATTCTGCCCGTTTTGTGTAATTATTTCGACCAGCGAACCGTTTGGAGGTCGTGATGGAAGATCTAAAGTCCATTCATGCAGTAATTCTGCTATATAATTAAGTGACGTCCATCTGGAATATTTCAAACTCATTTAGGTTTTTTTTTTTTGAATAAATTCAATTTGGTGATGGAAAAATCAAAGCAGTAAAGAATAACAACAGTTAAGCTCGGCAATTGAATTTCATAATAACTAGCAAAACACATTCATTGTTGATCCATTGTTTCCAATTGCTTTAAACTATTATTCGTTTTTTAGAACTAAGACACAATGTGTACCATATAACTCCTTCAGTTTTGAGAATCTAATATATTTCCACTTCGAATTGCAACTTTGGGAATCTACTGCTAGTTAAAATTAGAAAATATGAATTACTTGTAAGCAACATACTTGTCTTTGAAAACTTACGAATCAGTATTCGCTTTCGGCATCCATTTACGATTCTGTGCAGTATCTAGCATTGTTGGCAAAAGAGCAACAACGGTAGATTTATCAGGCATCCCAGATTTTTTGGCAGCAAGACTTCTGGTCAGTTGATGTACTGCGGCTTTTGCCATACCATAGCCCAACATTGCTGACGTATCTTTCAACACCTGTGAGTATGAAGTTTTCAGGATTCAAGACTAAATCAGAAGCTAGAAAACGAATTGCAAACTAGTTTAAGTTGAAATTAAATTAACTTAAATGGATTCGTCTTATTCGAAAGCCAACGTCTTCAAATACTTCATTTATTGCCAAATAGTATTCAAAATCCTGCTGATGGGAATTTTGCTTTTCTACTTGGATAAAGGAATAAGCTCACCGATGCAGCACCGGTAAATTGAAGAAGACCACCATTTTTCAAATACAACGCAGCAATTCGAGCAGATATAGTTGATGTCCATACATTTTGTTTCCATAGAATTTCCGAATTTTTAATCATATTCTCACTGTTGGCACTACCACCAGCCCAACCGCCTGCTACACATAATATTGCATCCAGACGCTCACCATTCAGTGTTTCACCGATACTAAATAAGCCTCATCTTTTGTAAATACCAGTACTGACAGTAACCAAAGTGACTTGCAAAATGGCACTAGAAGGATACAGTATTACTTCTGCCATTTAAGCTTATTTTCTAGAATAGTTTCCTGTCATTTTCTATCATGAATCTCGCATTCATAGATCAGTTAAGGGAGGAAACTGTAAAAATTGCAAGGATTGTTTTCTGGAACTCAAAATGAATAAGCACAGTTTAGATTTACGATTTGAGAATAAAGCCTTCCTGTTCCGTCCACGATGCGTCCTTGTTTACCACAATATTTGCATCAGCCGTTTCATTCCTCAGAACGTCTATGCTTAATGCCCACTGCAAAAATTAAAATTTAATTCGTTCTGATATGCTTCTTAGCAAATATGAACGAGACACTGCTAGTTTTTATTAGCATTCGACACAAAATGACTGACCACACAGTTCTCATGTATCCAATTGATTCCTGTTTGTAATCATAATAATTTGTAAAGTAATAAAAGAAACTGTTGCCTCCAATATAACCTAAATAAACTGGGAATTTATATATTCTGACAATGTTCAAAAAATCCATAAGAACGTCTAAAGCAGATAACTTACAAAGTTTTTACTTTTGAAATAATCAACTATTACTGAACCAAGTCCTCCACGACCACCGTAAACAGCAACACGTGTCGACATTGAAACCAGCTCTAATATCTCCCAAATCAATGAGTATAGAAAAGGAAATATTGTCGATTAGTTGTCCTAATAAACTGGATCAATAACTACGCACCTTGAAACAGGAAATAAGTAATCGAGAACCGACAGGAATGAAAAATGCAGAACTCGAAGCATTCAGATATTACAGCAGACTGACACTATTTGAAACGATTTAAACTTGAAAACTCTATTCCTTCCTTGTACCGCACTTCCCTATAGACGGTAATACCGGGAATGAAATCTTCAAATATGGCTCAGCAAAAACACCATTCAAGTACTCCACTCTCAATTAAATTCATACATCAATTTGAATATTTCGAAGAAAGAAAAGATAATAGCTCAAGTTATTGCGGAGTAAAGCAAAATGCTACCTTCCGAAATTTATTCTTATTGCAGCATAGATGTCGTTATATGGGACATTTCCATTTCAGGAAATAAGGAATGGCAATGCAATGCCCTAATGAACAATAATTGCAATCTCATTGCATAGCAGCTTTCTCGTTTTGAAAAAAGGATCGATAATAATTTCACACCCTTACTAAATTACTGGTAATTTACTAGCTACTCACTAAGTATTCTTTCAATATGTTAAATAATGAAAGTGACTGCAAGTAAGTTGCTAATTACCAGCATTGAGAAACTGAATATATATAGTAGGCCGGGAATTACTAGCAATCTAACTAAAGCTTGCAGTTCTGCTGCAACTGCAAGTAAAATGCCTGGATATTGTATTATGCATCTGATGATTTTAAAACACGGAATGAACCCATTGTTACTGCAGGTTTATTTTACCTAATGTGCTGTTAACATATTATTAATCAAATTTCCGACCATATAATGGTTCAAATCTTCAGTGGCTGTAAATAAGTATTTAGACACTAATACTTTTAAATGTGCTTCAGCAAATTGATCCTTAGTCATTTATATTCAACTTTCTCAAAAATAATCACAAATAACACATAAGTAACTTGAAAAAACTCATCCCAATAACGAAATATTTCACGTCATCACTCCTCTATTCTGTTCATAATAAGCGTACGACGAAACTTTAGTTTGGCATTATCCCGTATTTCAATCATTATTAAAGAGAGAGCGGATAAGAACTAAGTTTAGGACTAGAGTACTGTAGCACGTGGTATATAGCATTTAAGGTGGCAATTCACTTTTTTCTATTTTTAATCTACCCAATCATCTGCGCCAGGCTTTCAGCAGGGATATACCGAAGTCAATTAATAACATCTGGTAAGCCATGCATAAAATCGCTTTAATCAGTGACGTCATCTAGTATCCAAAAGTATACAACTACTTTGTTGCAACCTGGGTTTCTTACTATACGGTTTCTTCATATGCTTAAAGGAAACTACTAAAAGAATTCTAACTTGATATTTTTTCCCAAAGGTGACACATCAAAGATATAATTATGTACAGCTGCCTTCAATCTGATTTATCTTATAAATATTCTCTTAGGCAGAGTCATCATCTGAATCCTCAAGATCCAAATTTCTAGCATCTATTTGCAAAGTCAGTAACTTCGCTTCCAATTCCACTTCTTCTAGGTCTAACTGAACATCACTTTTTGTCAAAGCTAAATGGTTCAACTCGCACTGTAACCATGAAAGAATGTCATCCGAAGTACACTGAATCCATAAACAATAATCAGTTGTAAATAAGTCATTCAACAGATAACGATAATCGCCGCTTGTTGATAAAATTATATGTACATCGACCAGACACTGTAGCAACGACACCCTGCCTGTAATGAAAAATCGGACGTATTTTTTAAATTCCATTAGTCCTTTTAAAAGAAATTGAAATATTAACCACCAGAGTAACAATATAAGATGTTTGTGTCCAGGGAATATCAATTAAAAACATTAATTCGAACTTTTTAAATTCAAAGAAAATAAAATTCTTAAATTTACCTTTTTTGAAGACAAATTTCAAATCGTTTAGGACTTTCATAGATAAATCCCAATGCCGATAAAGCGGGAAGCATAATGATCTTCTTACAGCACCTACCACGGATTCCTTTACTGTCCTCCATTTCACCAAATAACTGAGAGTAGGACTCAGTTTTGTAATCGTCCAACCCAAAAAAAGAAAAATAGAAGACTAATAAATCAGTTCCTTGAGAAGGATAACGACGTTACCAGTATACAAATTCGAGGGCTACTATAAACTTTATATTCATCCACTAAAATTAAAACGAAGGAAAAACGGTCAAAATTTATGCATTTCTCATACAAAAGTAAGAATTAGAAGTTAGAACTCTTCTACATCCACATTTTTAGTTTAATACAACGCGAATTGGTTTTTTGGCTATGCATCCAGTGAACTAACGTCAAAGTCCATTCCCAAATATATCTCAGGTGATTAAAATGAAATGATTCTAAACAAACCAGATTCAGAGGTATGCTCGCCGCCAGTTGTCCTCATATCATATAAATAAGCGAAAACGATATCTATCAGAGACAGTGCAACTGCTTTTTCTATACCTGACGAATACTTAGGAAACAGTTTTCTGGGCAAATCCTTCAAATGATCACGACTTTTGAAAGACAAATCAAATGTTGTTTCAGGATATTCAAACTGTAAACATTCTTCCAGCAAAGAGTTCTTCTCAAATAGGTCAGCACTGAAAAAGTTATCTCACAAACTTACAAATGTAGGTTTATAGATAAACATGAAACATTGTTCGGAGGAAAAGGAATGTATGAAACCTTGTTGGGAAAAAGGAAAAGGAAATATATATTAACTTCAGAAAAGGAATCCCAGCTTTAATTTAAATTTTACACATATAAAACGTACATGTAATGCTCGGCGTCGAACTTCAATTGATCATGCCTTAAACAATCCGTAAATCTTTCGTCGATCAATGAACCTTCAGGATCTTTCAAATCCAAGAGATTACCAATTTCTGTACTAAATTTCCCAATAACACCACGACGACTATAAGCAAAACCATAACCGTAGAGTTTGCATTCCTCATCCATAAAATCATCAACATCCGATATTTGGGAATTTTGCGGTTCATCTGAGAAATTGGCCAAAATATCTGCAGAAAGTGACGTAGCATGAATTTCGCTATACATTTTAGGCAAATTTAGCCTGACGCATGGATGTTCAAGTGGATAGAAACTCATGATGACAGTCATAAAATGAACTTGATAAGCATTAGTTAATTCGGCAAAAATGAATCAGATAATACCTCCACTCTCGTCAGTTTCCTCCACCAATCGTTTTGCATGTATATCTGAGGGTTTCAGCAACTGATTCACTAAATCCAAATTGGGAAAGAATTCACCAACATTTCTTTTCAAAGCCTTGAATGTAAATGATCCTAAAATAGTCAATTATCTAAGAGAAATAGAGAAAGAAGATAGATCATTCAATCAACGGAAGACATACAAACAAATGATGAACTGTTGTTGTTTAAGAAAAAACCTTATAGGAAACGTGAAGAAAGATAATATATTTAGTAATCTACAATACACTTAATACTTTATGTAAAGCGTTCCTTTTACAAAGGAACATTTGTTCTTAATTATTATGCACAGGTGTCTTGTACCTTAGAAATGAAATCTGTTTGGGATCATATGAAAATTCATACAGAAGAACTATAATACTTTAAATGGATCAGAGAAGATGAAGAAATGGAACTGAAATTTTCAAAGATAAAAGAAGAAAGTTTAAAAGTACTACAGACAGAGAAAAGCTTTGAATTTACTCAGACCATGTTAAATTACACCATTACCTACTTATCAGATCATAAATAGAGTCGAAATCCTTGTTGAAAATATCCTCTTACCTTTATCACAATCATACGTACCCTCGATATCGTCCTCAGCTAATTCACCAGGCAAATATAACTTTAAGAAATATGGTTTCGAAGTGAAAAAGAACTGCAGATCACAATACTCGGCCTCGGCATCTTTCACATTGGCATAGGGTGCATGGATTTGGATGATAACGTATTCTGGCGTTTGGTCTATGTGGAATACTGGCGTTAACATCCCTAAAAAATGCAATTCTGTAATTTGTATATATGCTTCTAATAAGACAGAAAGAAGCATAAAATTAGAATCTATCACTTGAATTATTCACATTCCAAAAACAGTTTGTACAATAAAAACACGCAAATGTCATAATCCGCGTTTTCAGTTCAAAGCCGCCGTTCATGTTTCATTAAGAAACCAGAACAGCTTGTACAAACCCTCAATTGTGACACAACTTCGCAATGTACGCCTTCATCTCAGTAAACACGCTAATCTTATGCTTCTACATTTCGGGGAACTCAGCCTGATCTTAACTTACTCGTAATTCAGGAAGAACGGTGTAACATTTACTAAACGATACGGCAAGCTGTTTTTCTATATTTCAGCGCATGAAACAGGAGTTCCACTACTATATAGAATTAGTATTAGTTTTTTAAAGAGAACCAAAGACAGGAAAGTTTTGAGAGTTGGAATTGTGAGGAATACGAATTCATGTGTGAGGAACGTTTGGTTCGCGAAGCATAAATTGAACTATTTCTCTATACTATTTAGGGTGGCGAAGACTTACATTTTTGCTTCTTATCTCTAGTGACTTTTTATCGAATGCCTATGCAAAGGAAAGTATTCAAGAAACATTTGTAGAGAAATATACGTGAAGGATTAATACGAGAGAAATGAATATGTATATAGTTACACATATATATTTCAGCCTCATTAAATCGATGGCACTGCGCAAAGTGCGCAGTAATTTGGATCGTTTTTTTGATAAAAGTCTGACAGATTTGATTCGTGGGATCCGGAACAACAAGGATAATGAGGTCGGTGTTAGTTGTTGTTTATAACAGCGACAATACATAATTCATTTATGAAGTAGTAAAAACAAGACTTGGTGGAATTATAAGCCCATCTTCTGTCACTCTTTGCAGTTATATCGTATGTTTAGGCTCGGTATATCGCAGCATGTATTCATGAAATCAAGATGGAACTTCGACAAGATTCGGTTTTTGTTAAGGCGAATGCGATCGAAAAACTTGCTTATGTATGTCATTAGCATTTCATCGACCTACATTTTGAAGTTAATCGTGTGAAAGGAAGTCTCGAAAGAAAGACTTCTGCTGACAATTTAGTATAAGGGAAACAGAATCTGGAGGATCCAGTAGTATGTCATTATTGAATTGTAAACCATCAGGATGAATCACGTCAAAGGTTGTTCAGAGAAACCGCCTATAAAGTCTAGTGTCAAGTCGTTATTTGTTTACACATCATGATTAGACAGCGTAATGTTATTTGTAATGAGATGGTAGTAGTGGTGCGTGGAGATATTTGTGTGTTACTTATCGCTAGATTATTTTGCTATTTACCAAGTAGGTAATGCTGTCTCAGTTACGAGTTGCTGAACATAATAAGGTGCAAGTTTTAGTTACAAATGATGGGATATGACATATCATGGGCATCATTCAATATTATTGAAGTGATGGCGTCAACGAAATTTACCGAGAAACGAATCGGGTAATTTTCATAATAATATTTGGATGTTTAACAGAAAATTAGAGGGAAATTTAACATAAAATTGATCGAATAATTTTTCACCAATTTCTATGACAAGTAAACGGTAGCTTCCTCAATTCGGTTCCTTCAATAACAACAATGAACTTTTATGAATCTTACTTGGACTTATGGCAGTTTTATTTTAATGGCTTTTCGAAATATAGAGCATGTTTTGTTCTCTGCAAGCCATTTTATTGTCGAACCCAGAACAAACTCATAACCTAACACTTTTTTGGTGCCTATACGGTGCTTATACAATTGTATTTTCTCGTCCTTTGTTTAATTTGGCTCTAACAACTGCCATATTCTAATCAGTTAAGTTTTTAAATCTTGTTTATTTGTTTTTTTCTTTCCAGTTACATGGCAGCTTCACAGTGCTTCCATGATGGTACCGATGTTTTGATGTTGACTACCAATTTAATACGAAAAGATTTACACAGTGCTATTATGTACGAGACGGGTATAGCACTGGGATCATTTTCATGTTTTGTTACGCTTGATTTGGCTCGAGATCTCACGAATGATGTTGTGAATCTTGTATGTCAGCATTTTCAAGAATGAGGAATGTTTCCTAAAAAAACCGTATTTCATATTTAAGAAATATGACAGGCTTTTGCGTGTTCTGAAGGCTCTTTTTTACTGATTTTGAAACAATGTAATATTTTTTGTATTACAAGGTTAAGACTGAAACTCATAATAACATAGGGCGAAGTCTGTAAACTACTGTTTGTTTCAGCTTTCTTCTAGTCGACCTTATGTACGCAAAAGATGTGTATTATTATTGTATAAAATTTTCCTGAAATATCCAGATTCTTTAAGGCCTACTTTTCCACGGCTGAAGGAAAAACTAGAAGATTCGGATCCAGGTACTGTAATTGATTTTCTCTTTCAAATGTAATTTTAATCGCTATGAATTCACTGAATTACTGCATCTTTTCAGGTGTACAAAGTGCTGCAGTGAACGTTATTTGTGAGTTGGCACGAAAGAATCCTAAAAATTACTTAACTTTAGCCCCTGTGTTCTTTAAGCTAATGACAACCTCATCGAACAACTGGATGTTGATTAAAATTATCAAACTGGTATGATACATGATCATATTGTCTGCAATGTTTTTTAATAACAGCTTGGTAAGCTCTGGATCAAATTAGTTGTTCTGGAATGTCGGTTTTTTCTTTACTTAATCTAAAATGGTAATAAAATTACCAATGAAGAAACTTCATATAGTTGCTTTTTGTAGTTTGGTGCATTGGTACCATTGGAGCCTCGTCTTGGCAAAAAGTTGTTGGAACCACTAACGAATTTAATCAACAGGTTGGTATTGTTTACACTTTTCATTAGCTTGCTATAAACTGCCTCTTTATGCTTACTCACCAATATGTTATTAAAAATTTGTCACTCCGAGAAATGACTAGTTTTCAGCACATCAGCAATGTCACTGTTATACGAATGCATCAACACAGTTATTGCAGGTGCGCATTTTTAATGTTTTAAGACATCAATTTCGAATAGTACCATTTGAAACAATTAGATATGCTGATAAATGTAAAATCAGAGATAACTTGTTATGGTCTTAAAAAACGGCGATGACTTGTTATATTCTTGAGTACTAACGAACTAGATCTCAATGATTTTTGAACTAAGAGTTTGGGGCCTATTATCTCAGCAGTTCTTAGCGTTAATGCTGGTTTCCAAGCTGACGTCGTGTTTCCGCTTCATCTTAAAATCATCTAATAACTCATAACTAATTTTTGAAATAATTACTTGGTACTTCCTAAAAGTTTTAAATTCACTTGCACTTACATTCACCAATAAACAGGTACAACTGTATTTCAGTATTAATAAGTATATCGTCTGGTGTACCCGGTGATCATACTGCCAGCATACAGGTACAACATTTGAAAGCTTTGAAGTTTAAATTAGGCTCCACAGTGAAATGATTTTACGGGTTTTAAATCGTTAATCACGTCTATTTGCATGAATATAACGAAGTAAATGCTTCTTATGAAATTCATATGAGAGTAATAGCTCTTTCTAAAAGTTGATGTACAACGAAATTTATAAATAGATTGACATTAAAGTATTTCTATTAATCGATGCTTTAGTGATTATCGTTTTTGAAATTCTTGCATTTTACAGCTTTGTGTGCAAAAATTAGGCGTGCTAATTGAAGATTCTGATCAAAACTTGAAATATCTCGGTTTGCTTGCAATGGGAAAGATTTTGCAAAGACACCCTAAAGCGGTCCAGGCTCATAAAGATATTGTGTTGCGATGCTTAGATGACAAAGATGAAAGCATTCGATTAAGGTTTTCGCTTTGTTTTGTTGTTTTGCACCAAATTTTTACTAAAATCAAATATAATAGAAGCATGTTTGTAACTCGTGATAGTGTTTGAGTATGAATAGTTTTAAGTATGAATAATAATTGATCTTAAATTCTATCGACTCCGAAATTATTTCATTATGGGAAATATGCTACTTGAAAAAAATAGCTTTTAAGAGCATTAGATCTTCTCTATGGGATGGTATCCAAACGAAATATCATGGAAATTGTGCGAAAACTAATGGATCATGTTGATGCTGCAGAAGGATCGTATTATCGTGATGAGCTACTCTCACGAATTATCGCAATTTGTTCGTACAATAATTACCAATATATTACAAATTTTGAATGGTAATGATTATTTTGTTAACTTTTATTTCAAAACTTCAATAAACTATCGTATCAGGCAATAGGAAGTCCTTTTTGTACACTGCAACTTTGGGTAGGGAACTCAGAGGAAGATCTACCACGAAAAATAGAATTAGTATAAGTTAGTGAGTTACGTATAATAAACTTATGAAGAATTTATTCTTATTATATCAATTATTTCCAGAACTATTTGTAACTTAAACTTTTGTTGCTTTTGCAAAATAAATCTACACTTCTGTTTGTATATTCAGATGAAGTAAGATGTTTAAAAATTTAGTTATGATTCATTTCCATAACTCTTATGGCTCTTCGATTATTGAGTTGCAAAGTAATGGCTCTTCTGTTACTAGCATAAGGTTTTTCTTTTTTGGGTTTGATAACAATCTAGATAATGATTTAAATTATCGATTTTATAGGTATATATCAGTTTTGGTAGAATTAACAAAAGTGGAAGGTACAAAGCATGGCACAATGATTGCTGAACAGGTGTTTATTTGATCATGCATTCATAATTATACTTTTTCTCTCAAAATGTTGATTTTCTTTAAATCCTAAAAAAAATCCTGACCGATGATGACAAATTTGCACAGTTCTGCAAGTTATGCTGGAGACAGATGATCGATACTGAGGTCACTGGTACTTTTTCGGCCATTTTCCTAAAATAAGAAGCTGATATTTGCCTCTTTCAATGTCATATATTAATTGGGATGGTAGTAAAATAGAACAAAATGTCATTGCAGTCAATCAGAATAAAATGTTAAAGGAAAATTACACACTCGAGAGAGGTTCCTCGATTATGTGATTTCTTTTTTTATTCCCGAAACTCATTTTTTTTCGAGAGCTTTTTCCCGAAAATTTGATGGTTCAAGTTTTTCTAAATTAAATATAACCTATTGGAGATGCTTGATGTATCAGTACGCGTCCAGTCGATAAGGCATTTTTCGGTGTCTCAAATGGCTTTACTTGTTGAAAATGCCCATCTTCTGCTTGCTGGCAGTGCACAGCATCGTAGCAATATGTGTGAGGTGCTACTAGCTGCAGCATGGATTTGTGGTGAATACTGCGAGTAAGTTTAATGAAATTATGAGATTTTGTCTATGAAAGCAAAGAAAAAGAAAGTAAGAATGAACTTACTATTATCATTGTTAATCATAAACTCTCTGTAGCTTTCATGCCACAAAAATATCAGTTTTTTTGAACAGTTTTGCAAGTTATGAACTGTTTCAGTTCACGAAAAATGATTCATTGAAATTTTGCTACTTTGAGGCATCTTTGCAACGTTCAAGGTGTACTAGAAGCCATGCTCAAGGCCAAAATACCAATCATGCCAGGACATATACTGAGCGTTTACATGCAGAATATTGCCAAACTTTATGCGGTGCTTCTTACAAGAGCTGAAGCAGAGAATGATTGGGATGGAATCGATAGTTTGGATAATTTATTGCTGTCCAAATTGCCTGAATTTGTATTAGCTGATCATCTTGAAGCGCAAGAACGAGTAAGTTTGTGAAATTTTATGACGACACTGGCATCCCGAAACTTGCTGTCACACTTCAAAAACAAGTAGGAAGAATAATCTTGATGTTTAAAGAAGTACCCTTATGATATCGAAATCATGATACCGAAATCATCATGTGATTTTTCCTTATACGTTCTGATGAGACAAGACGTTTATTTCTAAAATTTTCTCAGAACTAAATCTGTAATTGACTATTAATTTTTTAGGCATGCACTTTCTTGGCTGTGTTGAAGATCATAGAACGCTTTCATTTGAATCATGAGAAAGTTGGTGAAGAATTCGCAAGGCTTTTCGAAGGGGAATTAAATCCAGTTGCTGTGAAGGCACAAAAAAAAGTTCCGATCCCTAAAGGGTTTGTTTCTGTCTTTTTTAGCTTTTTAGATACTTTTGAGAAATCCAAAAGATTATAGAAAAACCCAGCTTCGAATGGTACTATCACTTCAGGCTAGATCTGGATGCTTGGATTCATGAACCGGATTTGGAAGACGAAGCTAGCGAACCTGAAAATGGAAATACTTTTGGAAACATGGCACTGCGTCCAGAGTTTGCTGGTTTTGGTGGTCCACCCAGATATAGCAGTGATGAAGATCATGATTATGGGAAAAAATTGTCAGAAACGAAAGCAAGCAAGGGCGAAATTAGTGAAGAGGAACTGAAAGAGGTATTTGCATTTTTAAGCACTAGTTCTTCAGGTCTTATACCTTTTGAGTATGTTTCATTGGAAAAGATGTGCTATCCTTAGAGTCTATGACAATAAGTACTTAGGTATAACTGTTTATGTAAATATCTTAATCAAACAATCAAAATGTAAGTTTTCCATAATTATTTAGAAACTTGGATATTCTTAATCATTTTTAGTCTGCAGTTTTGGTTATCCTTTGATATAGCATATGAAAAGTTTGAGTTATGGCTGTCAACCGATCGGAAGTAACCTTGATAAAAGTGGAGGGCATTTGAGTTCGTGGATAAATGAATCAAAGGTTATAAGATAAATGATAATATCTGATCTGAATTTAGTTATTGAATTTTAATTTATAATGATTTATGGAATGACTTTTCTTATACAGAAAAATTTTAAAGCTCACTACCGGCATAACTGTGTGATGAATTCATTTTAAGCGCCTCAAACAACGACAAGCTGAAATTGAGAATAATCCCTATTACATGAAAGGCGAAATTAAAAGTAGTGCTTCCAAACGAACTCCTCTTGGTACTGTAGAAAGACCACTGTCGACTCCAGATCTGCAGAGCCCCTTAGAAATACCCGGTAAGTTTTTATTCCGAATTTTTTAAAAAGATGTATAGGACAGCTTGTTCTATCCTTTACTTAAATCATTTTTTTCTCCAGTCTTTTTCAAAATTAATGAAATGCGCAGGAGTTACGAAAAATTTGTTGTAGGAGTAGTGGGACTCAACAAATACATGGAACGACAGCAGTCGACGCTATCATGGAAAACTGCAAAGAAAGAAAAAAAGAAAGTTAAAGGTCGAAAAAATAAAGTTGATAAAGAGATAAGTTCTAGTGACGATGATGATATTCCAGTAATCCATCAGGTACGTGCCGTATACGTTGGAATGTATCACAGTTTTAAACGATATGCACTTTACGGTTTCAGCTCACATTAGCTTTATTTGCACATGTAGTTTATGCAGGCAGTTTCCATGAAATTATTAAAGTCTCCCAATAATTCATTTTATTCGGCTCAAAAATTGGCTTACTTAACTTATTCCTTATTATATACTGAGGAGCATGAAGCTAGATTTCATGAAATTGCTCGAAAAAATTCTTGTACTAAGCTTAGCTTTCTTAGGTCAACAGAGGGGAAGGTGAAATGCCTGAAAATGCCAAGTCAACTGACGAAGAAGCCGCTGGAAATGAAGTTCGTTGTATTTTTTAGCCTTCAGTTTAATCATTTGGGAGTGTTTTGAATATTTTAAGATATTTTTTTGGTATTTCAAATTTTCTAAATATTTTATAAATTTTTTTTGGAAATTTTTGAGTGTTTTGAATTTTAAACATTTTATGTATTTCAAATCTTAAATGTACATTAAATATTTCAGTCATGATTTTTAGTAAAATTACTTCCTTGTTAAATTCACTCAAGAGCCAGACAATACAGATTCAAAAATAGTGATTTGTGAAAAAAAAAAAGTATTCAGAATGAAGTGGAAGATATTTACAAAGCACTTGATGTTAACTTGGAAGAACCTTTGAAAGCAGATGAACGAGTGGAAGTGCCCTATGCGTACACGCAACCACGACCACGTATGTTAGATTTATTTGGATACTCACGAGCAGGGACTACTAATGCTTCTGATTCCCTCCGGTCTTACAATGACACATCATCGTTAGAACGAGGCGAAAAGAAGAAAAAGAAAGTAAAAAAGATGGGATCCAAAGGAATCAGAGAGAAGTGAGTAAAAATATTGCATTATCTTTCAGCGAGATTGAAGAAATCTTTAATAAACATCAAATCTTTTTAATTATAAGTCCTTTCAGAAGAGAATCAAAAAGAAAGGAGCTGAATGGTTCAGGTACTCAAAGCCAAACTGATACAGTCCACACCGAAAGATGGCTGAATGGTGTAGAAGCTAAAGGAATTGCTACGAAAGCTTTGAAGAAAACGTCAAAAAGTTCTGGAAAAGTGGGTGATCTGATCAGTTTGCCACTAATTTATTTATCCTGGTATTGACAGAAATAACTAAAGCTATAGTTCCTTCTGGGAAACAGTTGCACTCTTATCTTTAGTTTATTAAGTTGGTAACTATTAAAAATCAGTTTGTATTCGAAAAATGTTAAATATTGCATGTTTATGGTTGTTATTCTGACAGACTATTTGTTCACTTTCTGTTTTGTTCAAAAATTGTACTTCAGTACGAACAATCTTATAAAATTTTAGAAAAATGGTTCAAAAACTGGGGGTGGTAAAAAAAAAGGAACGTTATTGAAGAACCAATTGATAAGGATGTGTATGAAGTAAGTTTAGAAAGCGCAGTTAATAGTTGTAATCTAATGGATTTCACTTTCTAATGCCTCCTCTGCTGTGTCGTATCTGGATAAAAAAATACTGTTCTATATATATGTTTTGAAATGTGGAATTAGGCCGAACTGTCCGAACTCGACCACCTTTTATGAAACGATTATTGACACTCCTGAGCATAGTAAGTGGAATGATTGTGAGAAATTTTATTAGAAAAGCTAAAGTCTTAAAATTCATGTGAATTTGCTTTCCATTAATTTGTGGAAACGAATGCTTATTAATAATGGTGTAGAAAATAAATTTTCAGGCGGCTTCAGGTATTTGTACTCCAAGCAATCCTAATTTGCATTTTGGTTCGAGTTCATCTAATGGAGCCGTAACACCGCATGAGGATTCTTCTTTGCATCATGCGAAAGAGCAAGAAGCAAAATTACGATTAAGTTCTTATAGAGTACTGGGTGAAACAGAAGATTTGAAATTGGTTAGTACTTAATTTCTATTTCTTGTTTATTATAAGTAACCACGGACAGATTCAATCAATAAGCAGACGGAGTAGTTTAATGTTTAGCCTGCAAGAACTTTTTTTTGTAACAGACGTTTATATAAGCCCTAGCATGAAGTTGTATGCTATTAGGAGACATTGTGACTAATCCTTTTTCTTCTCTCACTAAAGTGGATTTCTAGTTTGAAATTACATAAAGAATATATTCCTTTTTTTTCTTTTTTGGTAATAAATGATCTAGACCTTTAGTAGAAAAGGTTTATACATTCCATCAAGTATTTAAATTCCTGGCAATCGTCCATGGTGTTTTAGTACAGCGTCTCTATAATTTTTTAAACATAATTATCTCTTCTAGACGTATGAAACACGAGTGTCAGCCGATGATGGAAATCAAATTGCAGTTGGAATCGTGTTTTCAAACAAAGGGCACAGTACGCTACGTAATTTGGAAATGAATGTGTTGGACACCATTAATACACGTTTATTACGTGAGGAGGGCAAATCATCCTTGGTAATATTTCTCATAACGTTGTTTTAAATGGTAGTGAATCATGTATAAAATATTGCAAGATGAGGAGAAAGGAGAGGAGAATGTGTAGTACGACTTCAGCGTTGCATAATATCTCCTTGAAGCATTTTGTTTTTCATTCTACTCAAAGAAATATTCTAATTACACACACTGTAACCATCCTTTGGGAGGTTATCTTCTAAAAAATATCAAAACAGGGAAGCCATCACCATTTCTTTATGATTTTGGTTCAGTTTTACAAGATTTCATAAAATTTATCTGGAATATTTGAATGGCTCTACTTCTGATAGTGATTTACCAACTTAAATATACTATCTCTTTTCCAACACAACAAATTGTTCGTTGCAGATTATGTAGATTAGTGAAAAACCTCGAGACATTTAAGCAAAGAGACTGAAAAACCTTGACTTGCTTTTTTTAAAGTTAGTTTTCTTGTTCAAGCTGCGAATGTTATTATTCATAAATATAGTAGCTTAATCGAGAAATATAAATTTCAGGCTGGGATTCCACTATCGTTTCAGCTTCCTGCCGGCGTCTCCGCTGAACATGTTTTTAGATTTTCAGTGAAGGCAATCAATATGCCGCAGAAGTTAAGAGGCAATTTAACATTCTTTGCAGATGTAAGTTGTGTAATTAAATTTCAAAGTCTGCTTAAAGTATAACTATATCAACATTTTCGGAAGGACTGAACGAAATACGTGTTATAGCTAGTATAGTCATGCATAATTCATCCAGTGATTGCTTGTTTAATTAATCAGTTCGCTTTTAGCGTAAAGGTGGAACTATTCAAGATAAACTAGATTTCCATATTCTAATGCCAGCAGTATCTTTCCTTGTGCCTGCCACCATTACAAGGTACGTGTTTCGAAAAGAATCAGGCGATGTAGTAAATGAATTAAGCGACATCTGTTTCATGTGTTCATTCTTGTCGTTTCTGGATAAGAAATAATTCAATGTTTTGACGTCTTCATTGCGTGTAAAAAAGGCTCAAATTCAGAAATAATCTTATTTTGAAATGCATAAAAATAGCAATTTTGATTTTATCTTTTTCTGGAGGGTTCGGTTTGCCGTCTGGTTTCCGTGATTTTTTTTTTTCCAACATTGAACTGTCAATTTCATAAGCCCAGATGAAAAATTTACACGTGCACATTTTCAGTGAATCTTATGACTTGTTATTAAGTTCAAACGATATGGGCTATAAATCATCCGTACAACTAATTACCAGCCTTTCGTGGAGCACAGTCTTGAAGAAAGTCTACTTCTTCGCTCATCTCAGTGGTAATTTTTGCTTTTACACAAATAAATTGTCTTTTTCCATACTCTGTGTACTCATATTTTATTTTGCTACTGTACCTTGCCTTCGTTGCCTCAGGTTCATGTATCATCCAGAACTAAGTCCTAAACCTCTCTCAGAAGTAATTTTATTAATTGCCGGAAATGAGCATTCACCAGCATTTCATATATAATTCAGAATGTATCCGTCAAAAAAATCCTTTTATCGGACCCGTCGGTTGAGATCAGTAGATTTGAAGAAAGTCTAAAAACACTATTTTTGTGGTAGAACATATACTAAGGAATATATTTGCTATATAAATTTATTCGAAATATTTTTGAGAAATATCTGGTTTAATCACTTTCCAGTCTCCATCTTATAAACTTTATTGGATTATTTTTTGTTTTATATAAAATTTACTGACGAATTCTTTGCAGTGGTGAAGCAGAATGATACTGTAGCAGCACTGTATGCTGAAACTATAAAGGCTGAATCAATTTGTATTCTGATCAAGCGGCAGGTCACTTCCTTGTAGAAAATTTATTAATGCGTGTGTGCTTGTCCTTTTGCGCAATCCAGTTTGTTTTATTCTTGAACATATTCCATCTAATGGAAAAAAAGAGTCTTGGAGTTAAAATACAGCGTTTCATATTGAAATTTTCATCATTTGAACCTGAAACGTCCATCTAGCTCTTCGAAAAAGCTCTGTTTGTGCTTTCACAAATAGTACTTGTTTTTAAATTTTAATTCATCAAACGATTTGACTCGGAACATTGAACCTCTCATATATGTTATGAAGGGAAAAAAATCGAGGACGGGGAATGATGGAGAATATAAAGGCTGTTATAAAGAGTTATTTTTTGTAAATCACTTCGTGAATTATTCTTCAGGGTGACAAAATTCAAATCGACGGTCGGTGTGGTGATCAGCAATTGATCTATGCAGTTGTCGATGAATTACGCGAAATAGTTTCTTCATGAATAACACCATAAGTAGTGTGTTCCTCTGTTTTCTAGCATTAGCAGTTATGTATTTCGTTAGTCACTGTGATTTCTAAAAATAACTCCTCAGAAATACGCTCTGCTAAAAAATGTTTCAATTTATTGCGTTGTTTCCTTTCTTGTTTTTTGAACTGAAGTAATGGAAGCGGATATATGAAGAAATATTCAAATATTTTCAGCCTTTCCAGGCTTAGAAACACTGGTAAAAATTATATCATTAATCATTCAAACCCTTTTAGTTGCTCTCTTTCTTCATTCTGCGTATATTTATTTTTAGGCTCTCCCAGAGGCATTATATCTTGAGCTTGCGATTGAACTGCTTGTTAATTTTTTTTTTTTTTAAAAGTTCTTTTCTTTTGATGTCTGAGGCTTCATTTTACTTGAATAAGAAACATGTGAACTATTGTTTCACTGAAGGTGATAGTTCTCGACATTGTTTTAAATTTCAAAACGTTGGAGAATTCTTTTGCCCAAGGCCAACGAAAAGAGTAAAATCATAGAAGGATTTGAAAAGTCTTTTCATGCGAAAATAGTGTTGTCTGAAGATATGTTGCTATAGTAGGAGTTTTTTCTTTTTTCCTTTTTTTATTCTTGCAATCTCGTTTGGTTTTCTTGCATTCTGCTAAGTTCTATAATTTGCATTATTTTGACAATTTACATTACTTTCTCCATTTTAATGACTTATTTTATTTGGTCGATGTGTGCGTCTCTTTCTCATTTTTAATCTCTTAGCATTAGGTCGCAGTGGTTAAGATCACTTATCTTGGTGACCGATGATTGCATACTTTCCTTTCGCTATTTGTTACCCTTAATTATTATTCCGATCCATGATCAGGTTAATATTATAGCCATAAATAACCTCCTTGAAATTAATGAATTTTAATGTTTCGAAATAATTTTTTTGTTTCAACACTTTTAGAATTGCATTAGATCAATTCAAGTTTTTCCTCAGTGCTTCATACTCTCCTCTTATTTCACTCAGATCTTTCTTCCTCACCGTGAGTGGGTGAAGTCGTAAGTTTACATCATTCAGATAAGCTTCCAGTAAGAGGTCAGTACGAATTTTAATCTTTCAAAATCGGTAATTGTACTTTCTTTTCTGTTCCGACTCCAAATGATTTGTATGAATTTCTGATCGTTTTTGAAATCGGAGCCCTTCATCGACTATTTCTCACCATTTTAGTTGTATAAAATACGATGATTTATGTTATCTGGAATATCTTATTTCTCTGTGTTCTACAACGATAAGTTCTCAATTCGTGATATTGTTTTTGGTTGTTGGGTGGAGCAAAGTGATAGGTATTATTGCTTTAATATTTATTAGATGATTCAAGAAGTTAGCTTCTTTCGGTTTATTCCCGCTTTGGTTTGTCAAATATTTTTCGGTTTTTTTCTTTCAGGGACTGAACGAACTAACAGAAATAATTTAATATTCCTAAAATGTTCCACTTTTCCGCTACCTATTCGATTTCTTCGTGTATTCATTTTAGTCTGAATATTTTATATATCGATGTTGTGATAGTATTAATCATATGCCATTATAAATAATGCATTTTGGATGTTCTTACACAGTTTACTTTGCGATTTATGGGTATGTCATATTTATCTGAGATATAATCATGCATTATTTCATATGCCATCTTCTGTTAAACATGTTACGATGTGTTTTGAAGTGAGATTGAAACTAACATTAGGATAAGGTACTGGTGAAAAGTTTTTTTTTTTTCTCAAGCTGAACGAGAAATCAATAGAAGGTTGAAAGTTTATTCTCAACCTTTATGCTCTTCCTACAAGTAATATGGTTTCCTGACTATTGCTGGAATGATCATAACGATTTGGTACAGTATGATAACTGAAGCAGTACACTTCCGCACATTCGGAATGGGTATTACTTCTAACCATTCTAGCTAAACCTTTGATGTCTTAATGCAGTATGTTTGTTATTATAAATCGCTTCCTTATACCCTTATGCTATTCAATCCTTGAATTATATTTGATAAAATGGGCGAAAAGGGAGCAATGGGTGTGCGCAAATTCAGTTGGTAACTTAATGTTTATTGGTTATATATGCAATGTTTGTAGTCCTCAATTCCAAAACAACAAATCTGAGTTTTTCTTTCATTCTTCTAATCTAACTTATCGATTACAGTTTAAATAAATGATATAAAAGAAGTACAAATGCCTTACTTGATATACAGTACTCTTGAATACATACATTTCGAGCATATTCAAGAACTTTCCTTTGTCATTCTAAATGACATTTACGACAATTAGCCTTATAGCATGTATAATTCGCCACTTTTTTCTCCTCCTTTTTGAGAATTTATTGATCTCATCAAAAGACGTGTTTTGAGAAGAAGGATAAGTGGAATGGGAAACTATCATCCACACATCGATATTGGTTGGGGATGTTGCTTGGTTGTTTGTTAGCTTTTACTACTACCACTACTACTTGGGAGGGTGAAGGAATGAAGAGTTGAGAAAGGAAGATTAAGGATTTGGACTTTATACAAGGTGGGGGGTATTGTGTATTGAATCCCTGAGCATGAACATGAAAAGTAGTATGCAAATGGAGTGTATTTTATTTGCAAGAAGCACGAAAAGTCGAAACAAGCCTAGAAACCCAGGGACGTGAAAAGTATTGTTTAGTAAATTGGCCAGCGATTTTTTCGCTTATTTCAAACCACTGATGTTGATCCTTCTTTATTGTTATCCTTTACCATGTTGCTGTTATGTTATTGTATCAGCACTATTATCACAATAATAATATTATTATCATCATTACAAATAATACTGTTATTACTACTAATACTGTTACTACTACTAACTTTTAACAATACTTCTGATTGCTATTTCGATTATCGATTATTGTCCAGTCTTTTTCCTGGGAAAAAAATGCTTGTTTGGAAAGTTTCCTTAAATAAGTTAGCGACACAACCATAAATCAATAATTTAATCAAAACATATCACATCCGGTGCGAAACCTTCTAGCTAAATTATACCGGCGGTAATGCGAATATTCATCCAGTATCGTTTTCCTTGCTGCGTAATATAAATATCGGATTTTTCGAGCATTCGAGGTGGTAAGAAGAGAAAAAGAAAAAACTATCCAAATTTTTGTCTCATAAAAATCTCTTCAATAAACTTTCTCATTGACAGGATAATTCCTTGGCCTATTTTTAAATCAGCTACAAACATTGATGGCAAGCGACACTTTATCATAAAATATCCGGACTATTAATCGTAGGAAGCGGTAATTGTCTGAGACATGAGAATGATTGTCCTGTTTTCGTGTCACACACATTCTCATGTCTCAAACACTTAGACTCAACGAGAATAATTCTTGTTCTTTCAAAGAAAGGAAAAAATGAAGAAGTAATTAGCATCCCAAGTGATTAAGAGATTAAGCTTTCCCATTTCATCCCTAAATAATTTGCATTAAAAAAAGGCCAAATAGGAAAAATATCTATCAATTTCATTATTTTTTATTTATTTATTTATTTTTTAATCCTTCTTTTGATGGGAAATTGAACATTTATAAAATAAGTTAGCATGACTGC